GCATGTCGCCTGTGCTCCACCCCTGTTTTATTGCTTTCTCTGCTTTCGCCCGGTTCCCGTCCCGTTTCGGCGGGGAGTCTATGTTGCAAGCTAGTTCTTGCTTTACCAGACTTTAAGCCCACACAAGCAACAGCCGACCGCCGCGGCAGGCCACTTTGCACTCCTGCCTGCAATGCATGCACCCTTACATGTGCAGCCTTCTGGTATTTTCATGTGCCTGGGAGATGTGCGGGCATGGGGGCCCATGTGCCCCATGCCATTTGAGTGCCCGGCGGCGGCGCTGCCTGCCGCCGGGAGCCCGCACCAGCATCGGCACCCGTCGGCCTGGCAGGCCTAAGCTGCTAAGGATCCCCACGTCCCCCACCACGTTGTGGGGGTTGCGTGTCCGGCAGGACGGGGAGCGGGGCCAGGGTGGGGTGACCCTGGGACGCTCAGCTGGGGGGAGGGTGGTCGGAGCCATGGAGAGGGTGCTCCATGGTCCACCCCCTCTCTTGATGCCCCTTGATCACGTGTGCCCCCTGCCCAAGGTCTGCTCACGCGGCCTATCATAGCGGGGTGACTGTAACACCTGGACCATCGATTGTGGATTCAACCATTTAATGTTGACAAAACTATATCTTTCCTGCTTTGTGGCAGAACTCATTGTACTGTCTAGCGCGGTCGGGCGGCTGTGTGCTACACGTTCCATTGGCTCAACAAAGAGCACAGATCATTGATGCTACTTTTGACAGGCACAATGTGCTATCCCCACTCCTGTAACAGCGCTGCCGCTCGGATGAGCACCCTCCCCCACCGGCAGCGCCGGGGCAAGCAGGGCTGGTGCCACCCTGGCAGGGTGCCTGCACTCCGCACCGGCAGCATGGACGCAGAAACCGCTGCTACGACCTTGCTCAGAGAACACACATGCGTTTTCTGCATCCCGAGTAGATTCTGAGTCGCTGGTGGCTGGTGCCCCGCAGCCCCTGCCTCCTCCGCCCCCCCGGCGGTGCTGCCACCGAGCGACGGTGCCACAGATGGCCGACTGCACCGCCGCCATCCCTCCCTTCCTCCCTGCCGTCGTTCATGCTGCCGTGCTTGCCTCGCTCGTGTAAGTTCCAAGCCTAAAATCGACTGTTGTGCCCGCAGCGGCAGTACACATGTATGTACTGACAGTTCTCCCCCGATCGGGACCGCTGTGGTACTCCGCAGGCTTGAGCATGTTTGGAACCATGCCGAGCGTTATGGAGGGATGCAGAGGCTAAGCGCTGTAGCTGAGGCGAAATGGCGAGGCTAAATCAGCGGAGGGGGAGCGGCTTGAAGGCAGCCTCCCTTCTCGCCCTTCTGGTGAGTATATCTGTCAATTTCGCCGTGATGAACGCTGGTGGGGACGCCGGACGTGCAACACCTCTGCCATGCGTGAAGTAGACACACACCAAGATCTGTAGGCCACCCTGCTTCCAGCAGCAGCTCAAGATGCCCCGAGCTCGGCACCCTCCGTGACCTCCACCAGTGTTTCCCCGCTCCTGGAAGACAGGTGCTACTAGTTGAAACCCGCAAAATTACATGCTCCATGATTGAATTACCGACTTGGGCGGCTGCCTGGGCTGCAGGATTGCTGCGGCGGGGGTCGCCGCGTCAAGGGGCACCGCCGCGTGCCCGCGTGCCGCCCTCTTCTTCTCCCTCACCCTGCTGGGCATCAAATCGAAGCAGGATTTCAATGCTGGAATAAAAATGGCGTACAAGAACACGCTGATGCGCATGGCCCCAGGTGCGCATGCGGCACGTGCTGCACTGCTTTCGGGGCTTGCGCCTGGCCCAAACGCGTGAAGATGCACACTTCATGTGAACCACCCGCTTGCCCCATGCTGTCTGTGCCATTGACCCTTTCCCCCCCAGCTGCAGGATCCACCATCCTACCTGTGGCCATTGAACCGGATGACACGGGGCAGTCGATACACACGGTGGCGCTGTTCCCGGGCTCGGTGGCGGCGGGCGTGGTGGCGGCGCAGCAGCTGGCCGCCAAGCTACGCGCCGGCGGGCTGAACGCCTACTTTGACCAGCGCAAGTTTGGGCGGGTGCACGCCGAGGTCGTTGCAGATCCCTACCTGGTGCGCTGTGGGGGCTGGCAGGCCGGAGGCGGCAGCAGGCGGGCAGGGGCTGGCAGCAGGCAGCACTCGGGAAGGCGAGCAGGGGCTGGCAGCAGGCAGCACTCGGGAAGGCGGCCAGGCTGTCAAGCAGGCATGGCTTTATGTGCTGCCACCTGAGCTGCACCACCCCATGGCTGCAGGCTGACAGCACCGGCGACACCATCCCGTCACTGCCCGGCAGCCGCCCAGTAGCCATGATCACAGTCAAGTGGTACGACCTGCCCCCCGACCAGGTCACAGCCCAGAAGCGGAAGGCGTATGTGGCGGCCATCCAGAAGCTGGTGCCGGGTGCGCAGGCGGCTGCCTGGGCATTGTGGGGAGGGCCGCCGCAATGATCCGATGGCCAACGACTGTCCCAGCTGTGCTCGTTGTCCTTTCCAATTCAAACTGCCCTCACTCCACTGGTCTGCGTGGCAGATGGTGCCAGCTTGCTCATGGCTGCCTGCAGCGTTCTGCTGCCCCCTTTCCAAGCGTGCTTGCGCTCACTATGTGGCTGCGCCTGCGCCTGCTCTCATTGCAGGCTCACTAGTGACGTACAAGACTCACCTTGACGACGGCGACTGGACGGGCGCCGGCGGCAACCGTGAGGCTGTCCTGCTGGGGCTGGGGCTCGGCGCCAGCAGGCCTTTTGCACCCGGGGGGGAAGGGGGAGCTGGAGGGCTGCTGGAGGGCTGTGTTGTTGGTGCCAGTTATTGCTGGGCTGCCTCCTGCACCACCGCATGCCGCACCCCGCCCTGCCCCATGCAGCCGCGCTGCAAAAGCTCGCCATGGACACGCTTATGAGCAACGCCGCCCCCACCACACTGGCAAAGGCGCTGAACACGATGAGGACCCGCCCAGCCAGCGTGTGGCCCGTGCCACAGGCAAGCTTGTTGTGGACATGCAGTTGCACCCCTGCCTGGATCGCAATACCTTCCTCCCATGTTGACAAATGTGCCCCTGACCCCTGGTGTGCTGCAGTTTGGCCAGATGGCCTCTGACGACGGCTATGCCGTCCGCTGGGTCCCAGACAGCAGCTTTGTGTCGCCTTGCGATGGTGCGCAGGCACACATGTGTGGGGGGTTTGAGCAGTAGTGGGGATCTGACCTTCACTAATGGACCTGCCAGCTGCCAGCTATGTCAGGGGCGGGTGCATTGGTGGCGCTATCTGCACGGCAGGCACGGAGGTGGACTTGGCCCGCACCTGTCTGGGGGTTGCATAGTTGGGTATGACTTTCCACCTTCCTCCCCTCCTCCTCTCCACTGCCTGCAGTACGCACCACGCTGACGCTGACTGGCATCATAGTGTATGCACCCAGCTGCACTCGCCAGCTAGTCACGGCCTACTTAGCCGCATTGAAAACCAAGCTTCCAAGTGAGCCGGTGTCTGGAGAGTCGTCTGTGTGCAAGGCTGTGTGGTACGGCAGCAGCAGTGCCAGCAGCGCCGCTGAGCACTAGGCAGCCCAGCCACTCACTCTGGACACGAAAACCTGCTGCCGCCTGTGCCCCCGCAGGTGACGTGGTGACCAGTGTGGTCAGCGCCATGCATGTCTCCAGCGGCTGCAGCGTGGTGACTTCCAGTGCGTATCCTGGCAGCCAGCAGGGGGCGGCGATGGATCTGGCAGGCCGCCTGGTCCCCTCAAATTACCCTCTTAATGGCACAGTCTTTGGTGCCGGCAGCAAGACCCCCGTATTCTTTGCGGAGGGTGCTGCTGCCACCGGCCAGCAGCGCGGCATGGTGACTGCAAGGCACCTGCTGCTGGACGCAGCCGCCGCCATGAGCCCTACCACCGGCAAGGCGTCAGCGACACCCATCCCAGGCAGCGCATTTGCCAAGGTGCGACTGGCAGAATGGTGGATGTTTGCACTGGATGTGCTGCCATGCCAGCGCGGCTGCAGATGTGGCGCAGTTTGGCATGCAACCGGCGGCTGCGACACTCGTTGCCTGGAACCTCCCTGCCTGCTGTGGCTGAGATGCATGCCTGCTCTCTGGCTTGCTGCTGGCTGTCGTCTTCCTGCAGTATGAGTATAAGCTGCAGCCAGTCAACTGTGCGCCGGGGAAGAGCTGTCCAACCCTGACCTTCACCTTTGCCACGGCTGATGCCTACTTCTCTGGCCTGTCTCCTGGCACAACGGTGAGTGCTTGGGGCGGTCATGTGCAGGCTGGCTGTGCAGCCATCGACTGGCCAGCACTCCCCATGTTGCACGTGCATGCTGGTGTTGGTGCATCTACCACAAAGACCAGCACCAGGCGGCCTGCGTGCTGGAGACTCACCACTTGGCACTTCTTGAACATGAGTGCAGTACAAGGTGACTGTCACGGGGATCAGCCAGAATGGTGAGAGGACCGAAGGCCTCGGCACGCAAGCCAGGGTGCAGTTCACCACTCCTGCCGGCTTCATGCTGACCTCGGCAACAGCAACAGGGCCAACCACTGGCGCAGCAACCGCAACTGCCCCAGCTGGCGCCTTCTTCAAGGTGAGTGCAACAGGCCACAGGAACGCTGGTGCTCCTCCCTGTGCCATGCCTGGTGCTGGATGGTGGTCCTCTGGGCACATGCTGGTGGTGGCAGCAGGCTGATTCTCCGTGCTGCTCAGGCTACACAAAGCTTGCCCTCCATATCGTGCCTGCAGTACGTGTTCACTGTGCGGAAAGCAAGTTGCTCGATGCAATCCTGCCCTGCCTTGACCTTCCCGAGCCGGACTCCTGCTGCTGCGTTTACTGGCCTAGAGCCTGGCACCCGGGTGTGTGTAACAAGCTGATTCCACCTGTGCTGCCTCTCTGCCCTGCGAACGTGCCGGGGGCAGAACGTAGGGTTGCACTCCCTGCTTCACCTCTCGTGTGTATTGACCCTCCACTGCTGAACCTGCCACCCCCACTCCATATCAACTGCAGTACAATGTCACCGTGGAGGGCATCAGCAAGACGGGGCAGCGGACAGCAGGGCAGAACACGCTGCAGTTCACCACGCCAGCCAGCGTGCACCTGGAGTCGGCACAAGCCACCAGCTCCACCACCGCCACTGCCACTGCCACCACACAGCCGGCAGGAGCCTTCCCTCAGGTGCGCTGCCAAGGGTATGCATTGTTGGCGGCTGCCCCATGGGCATTGTCAATGAACGCCTTCCAGTTGAGTGGGTGATGTGTGCAAACCGACCGAAAGCGCTGCACAGGTGGTCTCGTGCTGGCGGCAGGTTTGCCCAACCAACATATCCCCCCTTCCCTGCTGCAGTACATGTACTCTTTGAGGAAATTGGGTTGCATTACATGCAAGTCCCTCAACTTCCCTAGCAGCACTGCCACGGTCAAGCTAAATGGGCTAGAGCCTGGGGCCATGGTAGGCAACGTGCCGCTTGCAGCTACAAGACTGTGCGGGCAGACATAACCATATCCTTTGTGTCCCGCTCCAGCCTGGCTGAAGCCTGGCTGCGGCATCCCACACGTGCCTCTCTCCGCACTGGCGCTGCGCCCCGCCCTCGCCGCATTTTGTGCAGTACAATGTCACCGTGGAGGGCATCAGCAAGACTGGGCAGCGGACCCCAGGGGACAACATGCTGCAGCTGACCATGCCTGCGGGGCTGCGTCTCACCCAAGCCAAGGCCACAGGATACACAACCGGCACCGCCACCGCCACCGCCCTGCCCAGCGATGCCTTCACCAAGGTGTGTGCAGAGGGTCAGCGTGGCTATGTGCTTCGCATGGCTCGCGAGGAGACAGAACAGTTGACAAGCACTGTTGGTTTGCGTCCTGCCTGCAGTTCGTGTTCACCGTGACAAAAGCCAGGTGCACCGTGCCGCCATGCCCAACGCTGGCCTTTACAAGCAGGGCACCCAGCAATCAGCTGACTGGGCTGGAGCCCGGAACCAAGGTCAGTGTTTGGTTGGAGGGCCTGCCATTTTGTGTGATATGTGAAGGGTGGCGTGCGTTTCCTCTTGAGCTGCAGAGCGTGAGACAGGCAGCGGCCAGCTCCAGATGTGCTGACCTGCATCGCTTTGCCTGCGCTTTCTATGTGCAGTACAATGTGACTGTACTGGGCGTGACCAAGACAGGGCAGCGCACCAAAGGGGCCAACATGATGCAGCTCACGACAGTAGCACCTTCCCTGCGCCTGACGTCTGCCAAGGCAAGGGGACCGACCAGCGGCACTGCCAACGCCACTGCACTGCCGCCAGGCTACTTCACCAAGGCAAGCAGGCCACCTCTGTTGTGGGGCCACAGCGCCTGTGCGGCTTTCTGTCGGAGTGGATCAGATACCAGTCAGCAAATGGGCGGCTGTGCTGTTTGCTGCAGTACATGTTCACGGTGAAGAAAGCATTGTGCCCCGGCTGTCCAAAGCTGGAGTTCAATAGCAGCACACGAATGGGTACCTTCACAGGCTTGGCGCCCAACACGGCGGTGAGCAGATGGGCTGCAGCAGAGGGCAGCTAGCCAGTGTGACAGATGGAGGAAGAAAAGCATACCATCAGCGCTCGACCCCACCTGACCATTCCTGTTCTCAATTCTGTGCGACCACTGCCACCCTCTCTTCCCTGACCACCTGCATCTCCTCGCCTGCTGCAGTACGCTGTGACCGTGGCGGGCGTGGACTGGAGTGGCCGGCGCACGCAGGGCAGCAACAGTCTGCAGTTTAAGACGCCGACCAAGTCTGCCCCACCCCCTCCTCCCACCCCCACCCTGAAACTGACGTCTGCTAGGGCCACCACTCCGACCACCGCCATTGCTACTGCGTCCCCACAGCCACCTGGCGCCTTTGTGAAGGTGCGCTGTGGCGCCGCAAGTGATTGCCTCATGGTACCAAGCAATCACGATACCGTGTCTAGTGGGGCTCAGCACGACTGTTTGTGTTGTCCTGCAGTACATCTTCACGGTCAGGCAAGCAGCGTGCCCTCTCTGTCCGGCCTTGCTGTTCAACAGCAGCACCACACTGGGCATACTCTCTGGCTTGTCACCTAAAACCACAGTGAGTGCCAGAATGATTGTGCTGCTGCCTGTTCGCTCGCAAGAAGCCACGTTATGGTGCCAGCCACATGCCAGCAGGGCACATGCTGCCCCTCCCTCTTCGCGCCACATCCACGCATCCGATGCACACTCCCGCCACTTGTTTTGTTGCAGTACAATGTGACGGTGGCTGGCATGGACAAGAGCGGGCGCAAGACGCAGGGCATCAACATGCTGCAGTTCAAGACGCTGGATGCCCAGCGCCCTCCACCACGTCCGACTCCTGCTCCAGGATTGAACTTGACAGAAGCGCGCGGCCTCAACCCAACCAGGGGCATGGCAAGAGTGTCCGAGAAGCCAGCAGGCTATTTTGCCCAGGTAGTTTGCAGGCAGGGGCGCAGGGCTTGCTGCTCAACAGTGTGCACCTGCCCTCCCACTCCCTATACAGCCCTCATCGCCTGGCGTGGCCGTCCTTGTGCAGTTCATCTTCACGGTGAAGAAAGCGGCTTGCCCCAGCTGTCCTGCGCTGCACTTCACCAGCAACATCACCCTGGGTGTATTCTCGGGGCTGACGCCCAACACCACGGTAAGCAGTTCTGGCGTGGCAGCAAATGTGCTGCCATCCAGGCAGGCAGTGCCACGCGTCGAATCTGTGTAATGCACCCCTCCCTCATGCTTCCATATGCTGCTTAATTCCCCGGTTACTGCTGCAGTACCAGGTGACAGTCGTCGGCGTGGACAAGCGGGGCCAGAGGACGCCGGGCAGCAACGCGCTGCAGTTCAGGACACCGGCAAGCGGATTCCTTCGCACGCCCCCCTCACCTCCGCCTGTGGCCCCCAAGAGCCTGAGGCTGATTTCTGCTGATGCCACCTCGCCCACCAGCGGCACAGCCACTGCACAACCACAGCCAGCGGGCGCATTTGTGAAGGTGGGCACTTTTGTCTGGCGAGGGGGGTGGGTGGGTGTGGAGTGTGGCTGGGTAGGCCCACGTCTGGAAATGCATTTCACACATGCTGCTCAGCTGTTGCTGTTTCTGCTGCGCTTGTGCAGTACATCTTCACGCTGCAAGAAGTGGCATGCCCCAGCTGCGAACCCCTGGCATTCAGTAGCACCACCAGCGTGGGCATATTCACGGGGTTGAAACCTAACACAAAGGTGAGCATGTGTCGAGTTTCATGCGAAGCGGCAGTCGATAGTGGCAGGCAGACTTGAGTGCTGGGCTTCCTCGTGCACCTGTGATGCCGGTGGAATCGCCAGTGCGCACTCTTTCCAGGCAGAGCAGGCAGTCTCAGCGCTGGGGTGGCATGCCCGCTTGCAAGCCTGCCCTTGACTTCTTCCCATGGGCTCATTCACTGCTACCCGACTGCCTCCTCCTGGTGTGTCTGCAGTACAAAGTGACGGTGGTTGGGCAGGACAGTACTGGAGGCACCACAGCTGGAAGCAACATGGTCTCGTTGACCACCCAGCCCTTCAGGTCCGCCAGCATGTGCTGTTGTTTTGCTTGAGGATGGAACATCCCACCCGCCTGCTCGCCCCAGCATCACACTCACACACTGAAGCGCAGTACGTGTTGTTGGCTATGGTGCAGCCCGCCACCGCTGCCATCTCCTCGCCCTCCTCCTCCGCGTGCGCCTCGGCCCCCTATCGCCGGCGGTGGGTCACTTCCACCTCCCTTGCCTCCTTCTCCCCCGCCACCTCCCTTCCCGTCTCCTCCTCCTCCCAGGTGTGTGATCCTTGCACCAGGGCAGCAGGCCATGGCAACGGCGGCTTTAGCAGGACTCTCCCTCCACCAGCCGCACATGCACACAGCTTGCACATGCCCACAGCCCCCTCCAACATCCTACTCGATCAATCACTGTCGATGCTGCCCCGCTGTGGCCTGCCACCCGCCGCACTGCAGCGAGGGCCCCTCCATTAACGGCACCGAGTCGGTCACTGCCACCAGCGGCATCATCGACCTCCTCCCGCCCTCCGGGCTGACCTGCGCGCGCTTCATCGTCGAGATGTGCCCCATGCCCCGCGCGGTTGCCCCATGCTTCAACAGGACGTGCACCTCTCCCAAGTGCTTTGTAGACGGCCTCCAGCCGGGCACAGTCTATGGAGTGACTGCAGTCTGCAGGGAGGGCAATGGCCAGGAGACTGGATGGGGAGACGAAGGGACACTGACAACGCTGCCCGCGCTGAGCATGAAGTCTGCTGCTGCCACTGGCCCATTCACGGGCACCGCGGCGGCCGAGCCTCAACCATCCAGCGCATTCAAGGAGGTGGGTGTGTGATGAAAGCAGACAGCTGATGCGATGCAGAACAGTGTTGCGCCATTGCGCCGCCCCGCTGCGCTGAGCCATTGCCCAGTTCGTTTGACCTACTCCAGTGCACCCGCTGCCAATTGATGATGCAGTACATCTTCACGCTCAAGGAGGCAGCGTGCCCCAGCTGTGTTGCACTGGTGGTTAGAAGCAACACGAGTGTGGTGACCTTCACAGACTTGAAGCCCAACATCCAGGTGACCCTCCCCCGCCGTGAAGTTGCACAATCGCAGGGTGCCCTGGGCAAAAGGTCCCCGCGCCTGCAGCCACCCGCCCAATGAGGTGATGCACCAAATATCCCTGGTTCCTCGCTGCAGTACAATGTGACGGTGAATGGCGTGGACACGTCTGGGAGCACCATCACGGGTAGCGGCATGGCGCAGCTGACGACGCAAGTGGCATCCCCACCCGTGCCGCCTCCCAGGTGTGCTTGCAGTACTGGCACCCAGCTTGAGCATGTGACACGCAGCGTGCAATGCGGCCTGCCCTCTTTTTCATGCTGTTATTGCAAATCGCACGAGTCATGTCGGCATGGCTGTATCCTGAGCTGAGCCGCGGGTCTCTAAGGGGATGTGCAGCCCTGCTATCTACCTCCGAGTGGCATCTGCCCAGGCTACCAGCAGCACCTCTGGCACGGCCACGGCCACAGCCCCAGCAGGTGGAAGCTTCACAGAGGTGCGCCTATGCAGTGCTTGCCAAGGACCAGCTGGCAGCTCTGCAGATTATTCAATTCGCGCTCTCCTTGCAGCTTGCACATACTTCATGCCTGCCACACCATGAGGCTGGCGGGGCAACAATACCATTGCTTCCTGTGCGTGATTCCCTGTGCAGTACACTTTCACGGCACGACCTTTGTCCGGCGGGCCTAACGTGACAGTCACCACAAACTCACCACAAGTCACTTTCAGGGAGCTCGTTGCAGGAACCCAGGTGCTGGCCTGCACACCATGTATCCCTATGGTGCCCGCCAGCAAGAACTGGCAGGAGGGGGTTTGGGGCTACATGTGCAAGTGTTGGTTTCAGCACCCATTTTGCCAGGCCAAGCAAACAATGTCTTCCACACAATGTGCTGCAGTATGAAGTCACCGTCTGGGGGAAAACAACACAAGGGACCATTGTCGATGGAACCAACTCACTAGAGTTCACAACGCCTTACGACCCGCCGCCCTCTCCACAACCTTCGCCACCTCCTCCCTCTCCACCACCACCCAGCCTGCCTCCACCCAGCCCGCCAACGCCTTCACCGTCGCTGCCTTCTCCACCTCCTGCCTCGCCACCTCCTCCAAGCCCGCCGCCGCCAAGCCCGCCGC